GGGAAGTAGTTCCCCCAAAAGAAGAAGCAGGATGCCGTTGCCAGTAGAAGGAAAAAGGATGCTAGACAGTGGAGCAGGAAGAAGGGAGAGCCGGGGCATCGGAGCAGGAGTGAGCAAGGGCGCTGGCTCTATCCTGGGACTCATTTGGAGCCAGCATTGTGGAGTGGGGACATGGGAGAGGGGGGAACTTCTGACCCGACAAGGAAAGATACTCCTTCCCATTCCTCAAAAGAAAGTGCTGTAGTTAATTTCTCCTGAGGCCATCGTAGCAGAACCAAAGAAAGGACGTGATGCTGGTGGGGGAGAACCTTCCCCGCCTCACAGAGGGACCTGGGGTGACCAGGATGGTATTTATATACACGTGAGAAACACGGTCTTCTACATGTTTCTCAGCCTGGCCTTTATCCCTCTCTGGCCTCTCTGACACTTCCTTAGACAGGAGCTGACTCTTAAGGTTAATTGAAAGTGGCCTTTATTGTGAATCATCCACTGTGCTGAATTATTAATCACCTGCAGGCACTCTTAGGCTTCCTGCAGCCTTCCTTGGAAATGCTTTTGCCAATGGAAATATGACTTCCTTTTGCTGCTGTTTTCCAGATTTCCCAGCTCCCAGAGATGTGGTGTAAAAACATGGCAGAGGCATCTGGCCTCCTGTAACTTCACAAGGGGGGAAAATCACCACCAGCATCAACAGCCCAAGGCTGATTCCTATGAGGCAGAGGTCAGACATGTCTCCTCTCTCCAAACTTTCAACCAATTCTGACACCAGCCTTCCCTCCCATGGCACTCTCTACTTGTCTGCTGGGTTCAATACTTTGTTGCAATGGCCACACAGAACTCACAGACAATACTTACGATTATGGGGTTTATTAGGGAAGTAACAGGTTACAATTCAGGATCAGGAATGACTCAGGATACAGTTCTTCGATCAGGACAGCTTCTTGACCATGCCTGCAGGCAGGCCTCTCTCTGGCCTTCAGTCCCTCGGCCTAGCCTCTGTTCTGCTTGGGCAAGTATTACAAAGCTCTCCCAGTAAGTGCCTGGAGACATCCCACTCTGCCAGTATGCCTCCTGCTCGGAGTTGCTCAGCTCTCTCGCTCCATGAGTCAGCACACCTACTGAAGCTGCCTCACTCTGTGGGCCAGGAAGCCCACTGAGCCATCTCCACTGGTCTCCTGGTTCTGCTGCTGCCATTTCTCTGCTGCAGCTTCTCACCATCTCATGCCATCTCCAGTGTTACAGCTCTCTCTCTCTCTCTCTCTCTCTGTGTCCTGGGTCTAGAAGGTTCTCAGTGCAGAGACCCCAGGTCCAAAGAATGCATTCCTCTCCTGGCTCTTTTTCTTGGTAGTAGTAAGGTTTCCCCTTTCTGCCTCTGGGATGGCTTAATTTAAGCCTAACCAAACCAAAGCCATTGCCGTCAAGTCGATTCTGACTGATAGTGATCCTATAGGACAGAATAGAACTGCCTCATAGGGTTTCCAAGGAATGGCTGGTGGATTCAAACTGCTGACCTTTTGGTTAGCAGCTGAGCTCTTAACCACTGTGCCACCAGGGCTCCAATTTCAGACTAGCACGATGGAAAAACTGACCAATCCCCTTGTTCGGGGACACTTTATTTGCATGGTCCCACCCCCACAAGGGTGCCATGTACCTTATTTACATTATTAGCAAGCTGTCCAATCCCCTTGGTGGGACACAAGCACCTTATTTGTATAGTCCCACCCAATCATTTGATAAAAAGCCACATAAAATTGATCCATTGCACCCCACCTGGTAAGAAGCAAGATATGAAAACAGGAAGGAGGGCCAGGGCTGCAACTAGACCCTGGAGACAATTCTGTTATGTGGAGTTGGCTCCAGCCACGCCAGTCTCAGAGTCCCCATGGGACAGTGGATGGAGGGGAAACTGGCCACACTGCACTGGGCTGCTGAGAGCTGAGGCGGTGGGGTCACCAACCCAGAGGGCCTGGAAATTTCGCTGGCCGACACCCAGGGCCAACAGGCCTCCATCCAGAATCTGGAGAGCAAGGCCAATGTCCGGAGTTTGGAGGGTGGGGCCATTACCTAAATATGTCTGGAAAACAGGATTATTTTCAAGACTTGAAAGCTAATCAAATTTTCCCTGCTGGGTTTTGGACTTGCTTGGTACCTATGACCCCTTCTTTCCCTCTAATTTCTCCCATTTGGAATGGAAATGTCTACCTTGTGCCTGTTCCACCATTGTACTTTGGAAGCAGATAACTTGTATTTTAGAGCCACAGATGGAGAGGAATTTTGCTCCAGGATGGAACACACCCACAGTCTCACCCATACTTGATTTACATGATCCAGAAGATGAGATTTTGGATGTGGGAATGGGTTAAGACTTTTGAGGATAATGTGATAGGGTGGATGTGTTTTGCACATGGGAAGGACATAAATTTTGGGGGGCCAAAGGGTGGAATGTTATGGATTTAATTGTGTCCCCCCAAAATCTGTATTGAAGTCCTGGCCCCTATACCTGTGGATGTGATCCTGTTTGGAAATGTGTGTTTCTTTGTTGTGTTAATTAGGTCATATCCGAATACAGTCAGCCTAAACCCAATCAGTTCTGAGTTACTAAAAGACTAGAACAGACACAGAAACATACATGGCGGGGGTGGTACAAGACAGATGCCAAGGAACGCCAAGGAACTCCTAGGGCTACTGACGACGAAGGACCCTGCCCTAGAATCGACTCCCTAATTTGGACTTCAAATATCCAAAACTGTGAGAAAATAAATTATTGTTCTTTAAATCCACCCACTTGTGGTATATATTGTTATGGCAGGAAACTAAGACAGAATTAATCTTAGCTCATGGTCATCTCCCCAGGAACATCTCTTGGGGATTTGTGTGGGCCCCTCAACTGGGCCCGATGCTTAAGACACCAGTGGTCAGTGGGCAGGAAGGAATGAGATGCTCCAGGTGCCAGGTATGGCTCCACCACTTCTTGGGTGGGCCACGGGAGCTCTGATTTGGTTTCCTCCTGTGACGGGGTGGTACTGACCCAGCAGAACTGGTGCGAGGCTAGGCTCATAGTGATCATGTACATCAAGTCTGCATCACGATGTCCAGAACATAAACAGCATCGAGAAAAGTGAGTTCCTCCTGCCCCTTGCTCAGTTCTTCCAGTGGAGGAAGAAAGACTCAGACCTCAGTAGGCTAGCTGGGTAAGTAAAGTGCTTGGAGCCAGAGTTAGCAAAGTGGATGCAAGACCCCTGCCTGGTCTTCAGGACAATCTCGAGGAGCTCCTGTCAGTTCCTGAAGTGTGGGCCCTGATGAGTGTAACACGTGGACAATGTTGGCAGAAGCCAGGGAGGGGGCTCATCCTGAGGGCACTGCACTCCATATACCACTTCATACAGCCTTGGCCCCGGAGATGCCAAGCTGTATACAACATGGTCTCCCACCTTCATGGAGGTCCTGGTCTGCAGAGGTGGGGTGGCAGAGTCAGTCCTATATTCAACATGGTAGCTGTAGGGGCAGTGCAAGCACCAAGCGGAGGGTGATGGAGGAGGTTCATCTTGAAGGAGGAGCAGTGGGAGTGGGGGGATGGGAAGCCAAGGGGCAGCAGGTATTTCAGGCACAGAGACAGCAGTCTGGTGAGAGGGAGTATGGTGAGTGGGCAGAGCATCGAGAAGTGGTCCCACCAGCTAGGGCACTGAGCCAGGCAGAGGAATGGGATAGGGTCCAGGTGGGTGGGAATGGAAGAAGAAGCACTGAAGACATAAACTGGGGAGGAGAGACAGAAGCAATCCTTAACAGTGAGAGGAAGTTGATGCTTCAGATGAGAGATGATGGAGGCCTGGGCCAAGTAAGTGTTCAGTGCTGATGGAGACAGACAGAGGTGCTGGAGATGTATTGAGGAAGAGGAGCTGGCAGGATTTGGCTACTTTTGCAGGATAGGTGATATGGTAGGAGGCCCAGGTTTCTGGCTTGGGGAACTCAGTGTGCTCAGCCCCAAGATGGGGACACTGGAAAGGCACAGCATAGTGCTGGGGGAGAACAGGGCAGCTGTGGACCACAAGACATTTCATTTTTGAGGAGCACCCACTACCCCACACCCCACAACTGGAGCAGCCCAAGTCCAGCTCAGACCCAACTTCGAGGAGAGTGGGTGTGGAAGGGATGCCATTTCCCATCGGGGCAGTCAGGCTGGGTGCAGGGCAGTTGGCAGGGAGGTCTAGGCAGCTGAAGGGTTACCATGACTGGGTACTGTGGTCCTCACTGGCTGCCTGGTCCCAGTCTTGGAGAGCTCCAGGCAGCAGGGAGGTGTGAACCATCCTAATCCCCCTGGAGTTGAATAATGCCCTCCCCCAAAGCTGTCTACATCCTAATCCCTGGAGCCTATGACTAGGTTACCTTCCACGGCAAAGGGACTTTGCAGATGTGATTAAGTTAATCAACTTGTGATGGGGAAATTATCTGGATTATCTGGATGGGCCCAACATAAACACAAGACTCCTTATAAGAGGGAGGCAGAAAAAGGCCATGTGAAGACTGCAGAAGCAGAGTCTGAGATTAGAAGATGCTGCGCTGCTGGCTTTGAAGATGGAGGAAGGGGCACAGCCAGCAGCCTCTAGAGGCTGGAAAAGGGCAAGGAAACAGATTCTCCTCTAGAGTGTCCAAAGGAAATGCAGCCCTGCAGACCTGTTTTAGACTTCTGGCCTGCAGAACTGTAAAATAATAAATCTGTGTTGTTTTAAACCACTTAAGTTTGTGGTAACTTGTTATAGCAGGTATAGGAAACTAGAACAGACATCCAACACAGACCTGAGGGGAAGATGGGGGAGGCTTTGGAAATTCAAGACATTACCTGAGACACCACCCCACCATCACCCCGTAGAAGACGAGGTCAAGACCTTCCAGCAGATCTCACTGGGTCCCCAGACGGCAGGCTTGCAGGAAAGGCGGAAGGGAAATCTGGAAGGAGACTGACCTTGCAGGGCAGGCACACCGCCAGCCTAGGGCTCCCAGACATGGTCCGTGGAAGGTGAGGAAGGGCCCCATCCGGCCTCCTGTGGTCCAGGGCTTGGCAGAGCCTCAAGTCATACTGATGGCCTACCCACCTACTCCGTCACCGTGACAGCCAGCCCACATGCCCATGGCAGAGCAGGGCCCAGGCCCCGTCTTCAGATGTAACATTCAAGACAGTAAAATAACACGACCTTATCCCTTGCCCCCACGCACTCTTTTTGGTCCCCACATACTGACGCCTCGAGGTCTCATGACGCCCACCAGCCGCGCCCCTCCTGCCAGCGCCTCTCACGGAGGAAGCTGTGCAGACGCGAGGGGGCACATGCCGGATGGGAGCCCTTTGGTGACCTGCTCGCTCCCACACGGCGTTTGCCCCGTCTGGGAGGCCGCACTGGAGCCGGGGGCAGGGCGCGGAGACTCCACCCTAGATTCAAGGAAGGCTCCCTTGACAAGGGGTCGGAGCTGGGCCTGAAGGCAGCTCAGCCTCGGTCTGGGGAGCACCTGGGGAGAAGGGCGGTGCATTCCTGGACTCCAGCAAGGCACGTGCCAAGACCACCAGGTGTGAAGGGGTGCGGGGCGGAGTCATCTATTCAAAGCGGGCGGAGAAGGCTTTAACTCTGCCCTCCGGCACGGGGGTGGTCTTCTGACGCCATCCTGCCCCCAGCCCCTGTCCCGGAGCCCCTACCGGAGCCCGGCGCTTGCAGCAGCGCAGGTCGGACCCGCTCGCTTCCTGCGCCTCCGCCAGGGCGGGGCTGGGGAAACTGCGGCCTCCGGGCTGCGGGTGCCGTGTCCCTGCCCCTGTCGTCCACTGCGCGCTGACCGCGCCGCCGCAGGGCAAGAGCGCCCCCGTGCACCGCCCCCGCGCCCGCCCGACAGCTTTGCGCAGCGTCCTAAGAGTCGGCCCCGCGGTGGCTGCACGGAGACCCGGCAAACCGAGCCCCAGCCTGAGCCCCGGGAGTCGCCCGAGCAACCCAATGGCGGGTAAGTGCCCTCGCCGCTCCACTCCGACCCCTCTGCGGCGGCCGCTCCTCAGCCACCCAGGCCTGAACTTTCCTCCGGCCAGGTTAGGGAAGGGGGGTCGGGGGGACGCCGCCCTGCCCTGCCCTGCCTCGGGACCGCTCCTAGCGGGACGCTGGGTGGAGTGGAGCGTGAGGCTCGGCTCCGCGAGGACATTTGCGGGAAGGAAAGTGTGGGGGTCCCGCCTTATCACCACCTCACTCCGTTCTGACCCCGGAGCCCGGGAAGTCCCACGCCCTTATGTGATCCGAATGAGGCCCCTTCTATGCCCGAGGTGGGAGGAGTGGGGCAGTGAGCGGGACAGAGCAGCCGAGAGCCCTCAGCGGGTGCCGGGAAAAACCTCCTCGCTGCCCACAAATGTGAGGGTGCAGATGCCGGCAGCACGTCTCCGTTTCTCGTACCCGCTACCCCTCTCCTCGTCCACACTTCCCCACTGCCTCCCCTGGGTGTGGGCCTACCTTGATAGAGGGCTGGGGAGGGACGGATGCTAGAGAAAGTTACAGAATTCAAGCGTGAGTCGCAGCTCTCCTAGGGCTCCAGAACCCTAGAGGACAGGGCTCTGAATGCAAATCCGGGGCGTCGTCCTTTCCTGGGCTTACCTGCTCACACAGGAGCAAACAGTCCAAGGTTTGGTTTCTACTCCCAAGCACAAGGAAATGCGTGCTTTCTGCCAGAAACCCAAGTCTCGGGCCTGCCACTTTCTAGGAGAAAGCAGAAGGGTCTGCTCAGAGCACTAGGACCCCAAGGGATATGGCTTCTCCCCTCCTAGACCTGAGAGAGCTCAGCCAGCAGCAGCACCCTCCCCAGCCTGCCCCGGCAGCGTGCCTCTGCTGCTCCTGAGGTCCAACCCAGGGGAGGGATTGCTGCCCACATTCTGACTCCAGCAGGCCAGGAGTGAGGGGGTGTGGTATCCCCAGGTGTCACAGTCCTGTGGTTCTCTGCCCCCAGAGCAGGTGGCCCTGGTGATTGGGGGCATCATTGGGGGGCTGCTGCTGCTGCTGCTGCTCATCAGGGTGAGCTGCTGTCTCTGGAAGAGGCTTTGTGCCTCCTTCACCTACGAGGAGCTGCCCAGCACAACGGACACAGCCACCACAGCTGCCTCCAGCGGACAAGGGGACAAGTTCTGCCAGCTGGGGGCCGGGACCCCGCCAAGCAGGTGAGGCAGGTTGTGGGGTCAAGTGGCTTCCTGGCCTTGCCCAAGGCCCTCCTTATCGGGTTTTCCTTGAGGGTAGGGTGGGGAACAAATCTCGGGTTTTCTGACCACCTTCTCCGCCAGGCACCGTGCTGGGAGCTCTCACAAAGAAACCCCAGGATCCTTACCACAGCCTATGAGGCAGGCATGCGTGGCAAAGCCCATTTTCCAGATGAGGAAACTGAGGCTCAGAGGGCATAGTGACAGGTCCAGATAGTACAACTAGTAAGTGGCAGACCAGGGATTTGAACCCAGGCAGACTGACTCCAGAGGCTCTGGCTGTGAGAGAGGTGGGGCTGGGAGGGCTGGTGTGGGCCAGTAAATTGTGCCCTTGCCTGTTGCTGGCCCCTGCTGGCCTTTACTTCTCCAGCCCCTGGCACTCAACCCACTCTGGGCTTGGAGCTCTGGAGCCCCACCATTCGCTGGCCACCTACGTGCCATCTCCCTGCCTCTGGACAGGCCACCAGGTGTGCCATTTGTGGTGCCACCTTCCCTCCAAGGCCGAAACTGGATGCCTCTGCACAATGGAGAGTGGGTCCAGGCCCCACAAGCCCCCTGCCCAGCTCTGGAGCTCCTGCCCCACACTTCCTGCAGCAGCCTCGGTGAGTGCTCCCGCCAAGTACTGCCCGGGGTGGGGGCTGTTTGGGCCAGGGCGGACCCATGTGCTTTCACCATGCCTGGCTCCACAGCACAGCCTGGACTGGCCTGGGGGTCAGACTAGCCCAGTGACCACTCTTTCTGGGTACTTCAGTTTACTAAGTACCTACTGCACCCCATGCCTGGTGAGATAGGGCCACCTGTGCCATTTCGGAGCTAGTTTTTACCACAACCCTATGAGGGAGGGCCTAGCACCCCATTTTACATGTTCATAAACTGAGGCTCAGGAAGGTTAAAGGCACCCTGCCCAAGGTCACAGAGGCAGTGTGTGATGAGCTGGGATTTGAACCCAGGTGTGTCTTGGGGGAGAACTTGTGCTGGGTCCTGTTGCATGGGTGGGGGATTGGCAGGAAGAGAGAGCAGAAATGGTAGAGCTGGAAACCACTTTCTGCTCACCTCTTTGCCCCAAAAACCTCTGAAGAGACCTTCCCAGCAACCAGCCAGTCACCAGCTTGGCCTTCGCACATGAAGGGGAAGAAGAGAGGCACCACTGTATCACTGAAACATTCTCTGACACCATGGGAAGGGGCCAGGCCAGGTGCTGAGAAGGCCCTCACCTCTGGGATGGCCACCCATCACAGGGCGCAGTCAGGGGCGGCAAGTGTGTAGTGAACAGTGGGGCCCCTGTGAAGGGTCCCGGGGAGGGCCAAGCACGTCTGTACGATGCCTGAGTACTGAGAAGGAGACTGCGCTGGATGGAGAAGGTGGATGAGGTTAGGCTGGAGAAGAGGGTGGGGGCTGCTGCCAGGAGAGGCCAGTGAGCAGGGGAGAGGAGGCTCGGCCAAGAACTAGGTTGTGCTCGGAGTTTGCCCCTGTTCCCACCCCTGCCTCCCCCTGGCCTGCTAGACCCCCAGCCTCTCTGTTGCAGGGGTTGAGCATGCAGTGGGGACCATCAACCCAGAGCTGTACAAGTGCCCTGAGGACGAGGGTGAGACTGAGTTTCCTGAGGGCTGCCTGGGGTGGCTGTGGTTCACGGTGGAGTACCAGCAGAAGGCCGAGCGGCTGCTGGTGGGGCTGATCAAGGCCCGGCGGCTGCAAGCCCCCTCCGACACCTGCAGCCCCCTCGTGAAGCTCCACCTGCTGCCAGATGAGCGGTGCTTCCTGCAGTCCAAGACCAAGTGCAGAACCACCAACCCACAGTTTGATGAGCATTTCATCTTCCAGGTAGCGCCCTGGGGAACAGACGGGGCCTGGGTCCTCTGGGCAAGCTGGGAAGGAGCAGACACTGCAGGAGAGCCCGGCCACTCACCGCTGGCCAGGGCTCTGCAGGCCCCGGGACCCAGCCCAAGGGTCAGCGTCAGGGTCTGCAGATGTGGGCAGAGGACAGGCCTGGGGGGTGGGCTGTCAGCAAGATAGAAAGAGAAAATACATTTTTGGAACACCTACTGAGTGCCAGGCCCTGGCCCCTGGGTCTCGGGAGAAGTACCCCAAAGTCCCGGAGCAGTGTGAGGTTTCTGGCAAGGTTATCCAAGGGAAGCAGAGGGTAGGATCTTACTGGAAACACCCAGGCCCCTTGGAGTGGGAGCAGGTACTCTCCTCTGCCATCAGAGAGGTCAGCACCGGGGTCCTGAGCCAGCCTGGCAGGGGCCTGGGAGCCTCAGCAGGTGACTGCAGGCTCTCAGCGAAAGCCAGCAATCCATAACTGCCGAAAGGCCTTGGACAAACATTTTCAAGAGCTGGGCAGCAAGCTGGTAGCAGGGTAAGGAGTGGCACCTGGTAAGTGTGGACTGCCCTCCAGGGTAGCAGCAAGGAGGAGTGGGGGTGGGTCCAGGCCCTGGCCGTCCACTGGGCCCAACTGTGAGAACTCACAGGTGTCTGCTCCTCCATGCTCAAGGCATCGAAAGCCAAGGTGGTGGCCTTGCTGACCAGCACTGTCTTTTTTAACTTTCATACTTATTTTTCTTGACTCACCACTCACCTGCCCCTGACCCCCACCTTGATCCTGCCCCCTCCATGCTTCAAGGGGAAAGAGAAGAACATCAGTATTTATTGAGCAACAGCTGTATGTCAGACACTGTGGGGGCTTGCAGCTCTAAGAGCAGGCATGTTACCCTCATTTTGCAGGTCAGGAGCCAAGTCTCAGGGAGGGAGGGGTGACTTGTCCAGCTCAGAGAGTTGGCAGGTCCCTCAACCCCCCTGGCCTGTGCCCAGCATGGTGCTTCTCACACCTGGACGTGCAGGCATATCACCCGGAGGCCCTGTGAAGGGGTAGATTCTGACTCATGGGTTTGTGGTGGTGTCTTAGTTGGCTAGTGCGACTGTGACATAAATACCACAAGTGGGTAGCTTTAAAGAATAGAAATTTATTTTAGCCTCACAATTCTGGAGGCTAAAAGTTCAAATCAGGATCTTGGCCATGCCAATTCCTTCCTGGTTGGTAGCCCCAGGAATTCTTTGGTTTCTTGGTGATCCTCACATGGCATCTGTCTTCCTGGGTTTGTGCTTCTGTCTGCATCTAGTCTGCCCTTTCTATGACAGAGAAGTGATTAGGTTTAGGATACACCCTACACTGGTATGGCCTCATTAACATAACATTAGATTATGTTATGGAAGGTGATTACATTACTTTATATCCACAGGTAGAGGGTTAGGTTTCCAGCATAAATTCTGGGGGGACACAGTTCAGTTCATAACAGGTAGGGCCCCAGATCCCTCATTTCTAATAAGATCCCAGGTGATGGTGGATGTGCCTGGTCCATGGACCACACTCTGTAGCAAGGCTCTGGCATACTCCTGCTTCCCTGGGGTTCTTGGCCTCGCTGCTAAGAAGGGTCCTTGAGGAGGCTGGGGCTTGGGGTGTGCAGATCCTTGGTTGAGACAACCCTCACTGGAACAGCCTGTCACACCATCCCATCCCCGACCCCACGCCTGGCCGTGGCTCCGGCCCGCATCTCCCCTAGGTGTCCAGCAGGAGTGTCACGCAGAGGGTGCTTAAGTTCTCTGTGTACCACGTGGACAGGCAGAGGAAGCACCACCTCCTGGGCCAGGTGCTGTTCCCCCTGAAGAACGAGACCGTGGCGGGTGACTACCAGCGCATCATCTGGAGGGACCTGGAGGCCGAGACCCTGGAGGTAAAGGTCACAGTCACTAGACATATGCCACCGTGTGTCAGCACTACACTGGGCAACAAGTGTGACGAGGCCCAGCCCCCACCCCCAGAGTTAGCTGCATGCTGCCCGTCAGCCCTACAAGTGTGACTCGAGGTGGGGTCCTGGCCATAAGCCACGTGGGACGCCTGGGGATGGACAGCTGGGGGGCAGTGAAGGTCGTCTAAGGTTCATTTGCCCTGGTCACATTACCTGAGTGACCTGAAGAAACCATGCTTGGATCCCCATCCAGGTCAGACCGTGTGAAAGCTGACACCCCAAATGACCAGCCAAGGGAACTATTTACCCACCACTCCCCACCTCCCAGGAAGGACCCCACATGGGCTTTAAAATTCCGCAGACCTGGTTTGGATCCTTAGCTCTGGTCCATACTGCCGTGTGACCTCGAGCAAGTTCCTTCAGCTTTGGTGTCCCCATTGGTAAAATGAGATGAGATGAGAGACGGTGGGCCAGCCAGTAGAACAGTGCCTGGTTGTGGGGAGGGTTTCCCTGGCTCCTCAGCATGGGGGACTCTGGGAGCAGAGGGGCCAGCGCCTGCCCGAGTGACCGGGTGCCTTCATCTGGGCCTCCACAGACCCCCTCAGAGTTGGGCGACCTCCAGTTCTGCCTCAGCTACAATGACTACCTGAGCCGCCTCACGGTGGTCGTGCTGCGTGCCAAGGGCCTCCGGATCCAGGATGGCAGTGTTGTCAGTGAGTCTCTTCCCTGTGCCTCCTCGGGCAGGTCTCAGCTCAGGGCCTGGCTGGACTGTCACCACTGGCCACCCAGGCTCTGCTGGCACGTGAATGCCTTTGAGACCCCCGCCCCCGCCCCAGCAGACAGTTCTGGTGTTAGGACCTTCTTCAGATTAGAAGCCAAGGCCGCACCCTTCCACCAAGGGTCCTACTCCTACCCCTGAGACGAGGTCCTGCCCTGCCCTGTCCCGCCCTGTCCCATGGCAGAGTCTTGGCTTGACCCTGTCCTGCCCTGCCCTCTGTAGGTTGAATGGTCCCGTTCCTTTAGGGAAGACCCGCTCCCCCCTGACCTGAGGGGGCTCCTCTGTTTGCTGACGCACAGACAGTGGATTAGAGGCACTAGAGGGGAGGAGTGGAGGCCCTGGCCCTCCCCCACAGGGCCTGCCTCCACCTGGGCACACCTGGCAGGGAGCAGGTTTGCTGTTGCTCTTGGCATGGGGTCACTGACAGCATGCTGGGATTCAGATCTTCCACTGCCCATCTAAAACCTGTCTGAGCCCCACCCTAAAAATACCTGTCCCTCTGAGCCTAGAGGTGTCTCAAGAGGCCACAGGGGCTTGAGGACCAAAGGCCAGAGCTTCCCTTATCTGGGAGGGGTAAACAAGGGCCTGCCTGAGCCCTGGGGGCGCCTGGAGGCTGAGGAAGGAAGAGGAAGGGAGCTGAGCGTTTCCTCAGCCATAAAGCATTGTACTGATCAGCCCATTTCCTGGAGCCGTTCCCTCTGGCTGCAGTGACTAACTGGGACCTGGTGCCAGGGCGTGTGCCCTCCTGGCTGGCTCCCCAGGCGAGAACGGGTCGAGGCTCCCACCTGCCTGGGCCAGCCCCACAGTCTGCACTGCCCCCACAGGTGTGTTTGTCGAGGTATCTCTGATGAACCACAACAAGTTCATCAAGTGCAGGAGGACTTCGGCCGTGCTGGGCTCTGCCTGCCCTGTGTACAATGAGACCTTCAGCTTCAAGGTTGAGCCCGCCGAGCTGGACACGGCCAGCCTCCATCTGACCATGCTGCAGAGCACAGGGAACGAAGGTAAGGTTGCCCCCCACCCCAGGCCACTAGGGCCAAGGGCAAAGGAGGGGCCCTGTGGGACATTTGGGCAGTGGGGGCTCCCCCATGCCCTGCTCCTCAAGATGAGGACATGAGAGCTCAGAGGGGCCGAGAGCTTGCCCAAGGACACAGAGCCTACTGGTGGGAGAGCTGGGATTTCACTCAGCTTTCACCCAAAGTTGGACCCTGTCTATGGTACCATCAAAGGGCTTCAGAGGTGGTCTCTGCTATGCCCGCCTGGGGAAAATCACCAGGCTGGAAGGCGGCAGGCTGCTGGCCGCCGGCCAAGTGACCCAGTGCCTGTGAATCTGTGTCGCTTGCGTTTCCTCATGCCTTCTAGACAAGCCTTTAGGACCCTGGGGCCAGGGACAAGGTGGATGGCAGGGCTGAGTTACCCCGGTCCCGGCACCCCACCCTGCTGTGCGGAGGAGCAGAGTTGTGAGGGGCAGGTTGGGCACAGGGCCAGGGCTCAAGGGCCAGCCTCTGCTATGGCAGAGGGGGTGCGTGAGGCTGGTGTACCTCAGAAAGTAACAGTGGGCGGATGGACCCCTCAGCTCTTTGATGTCAGCAGGTAGGCCTGCCGGGGGTGAGGGACAGCATGGGGTGCACCTGAGGGTGAGGAAGCAGCCCCTGCAGCTCCAGAGCCAAAGCAGGGCCCCTGTGGGGTCTGTCGCCTGTGCTGAAAGATGGAGGGGTTGCCCCTTCCTTCCAGGGAGGAGTGAGGGAGGGAAGGAAGTCACGGGGGATGTGGCCAGGTGACTTGGCTTCTGGCTTCAAGAATCACTGTGCTTTCCCTGCTGCAGAGAACCAGGAGCTGGGCCGGGTGGTGGTGGGCCCCTACATGTATGCCCGCCGCAGGGAGCTGGAGCACTGGAACGCCATGGTCAGCAAGCCCAAGGAGCTCGTGCGGCAATGGCACGCGCTTTCCCGCAGACCTGAGCTCTGAGCCAGGCCCAGGCTCCGCCTCCGCACTGGAAGCCAGCTTTCCCTCAGTAACTCATGACCAGCCGCAGGCACGGACATTTCACCCACATCTCACAGGACGCCAGGCTGCTGAGCCAGGGAAGCATGAGTGATGTGTAGGAGCACAGAGGAAAGAAGCGCCCTGGCCCGGGTCAGCAGCGGTGGCCCATCACTCACGACTTAGGAACAGCCCTGCCCCCACTCTATCCTCTTTCCCTGTGGGGCACCTGTGCCATGAGCCCTGGTCCTCTCAGACCTGACTTGGACCTGAGCCTCAGACACTGGGAATAAGCATTCTGAATACGTAGCAGTAGCAGAGCTGTGTATTCTGAATGGAAATGCAGGGGAAACTGGTTAACTGGCAAGCCACGGATGGGCTGATGCGCCACCTACACGGTGTTGGCTGTGTTGGTCTCTGCTTTCCGCCTGGCAGAGGAAACAAACTGCGTGGAGAAATTGTAGAAGAAATGCCCAGAGCACTTATTTCACCTAGGCCACAAGAAATAGCACAGTCGGAGAGCTGGGTCCCCCTTACCCTGAGCTGCACGTGGAGGTGTGGCCTGGACGTTCACAGGAAACCTGGGCATCACAGCGTGCCCACACAGCTCACGAGGAACTGTCTCTCTGAAGAAGACTCCTTGGACCTGTGGGAGAATGCGATGTGCCCCTGCCCAGGTACCGAGTAGTGGCCAGTTTCCCCAGATCCTCCCATGCGCGAGGGAAGGAGATCCCAGCCCCGTTCATCTCTGCTGCCTGTGCAGGTCACTCCCCAGGCTCTGACAAATCCCACCTCCCCATAGTTCAAAACCTCTCCTCTGACCTTTCAGGTGTTCTGCGGCCACTTTCCATGGTCACCCCGGTTAATTGTGTCTGGTTTCTGGGGCTCTGACTTTTGGCAGGAAACTGTGAAAGCATGTGGCCAAAATGTAGGGGATGGGGCTGAGAACTCCTTTAAAACTAGCAATTCCATTAGGATTCTCGTGTTGTGGTTGGTTTGCTATAAAATTCATTAGGATGGAAGTTCCCACAAATCCTAGTCACCAGCTCCCTGTGAAGCCGACCTCAGGGACCGGGCAGACATTGTGCTTGTCACTGTCCCACTAGCACGCAGTTTGTATTTTCACCTGGATGCCGTGGCGCTGGGCTTCTGAGTTGGCTGGAGTAGTGTCTTTCTTTGCAGATGCAAGGCATTGTTGCTGTGTAACTCCTAGAAAACTTTCAACCAGTATTTGTCTCCTCTTCTTAGTCAGTGAACAGTTTCAAGAAACAAAGTTGTAAATGTTACATTCGGTTGACGCCTCTTTAGCTTCACCTCCCTCTGGTCTTTATCAGTGCACAAACACACAAATACAAGCTTTATCTGATATTTGGTGTGGAAGTCCCTGCATGGCACAAGCAGTTTGTGATCAACTACTAACCTAAAGGTTGGCAGTTCAAACCCATCCAGCAGTGCCATGGAAGAAAGGCCTGGCAGTCGGCTTGTAAAGATTAAAGTCAAGAAAACCCTGCAGAGCAGAGTTCCACTCTGTAACACATGGGGTCACTGTGAGTTGGAATTTGCTAGACAGCAAGGGTCTGGTCTTTGCATTTGGTCAGTATGGACAGAATACTTCGTATTGGCTTTTTCTCACTTATTTCACTTGCACTTTCCAATTATACCAGTAATTTCTACCAACTTCACATCACACACGAGATGAGTTCCCTGCTTGTTGAGCAGACTACTAACTGTTACACCTGAGGGCCCAAGACAATACATGCCAACCACCCTGCATTCCAAGATGAGGTTTGAGACTAGCCGTGGCCTTTCGGGAGGGAATCCACTTTGAAGGACTGAGTGGGCCAGTGTCTGATTCATACCTGGGAAATCTATGGCAGGAGACTGGCAACCATCTGCTCTGTTGGAAAGGAAAAAGAGGCTGGCCTGTGCCTACAGTCATGTTGTTAGTTGCTGTCAAGTCGGCTTTGACTCATGGTGATCTTATGTATAACAGAATGAAACATTGCCTGGTCCTGAGCCAACTTCATGTTTGAGTCCATTCTTGGGGCTATTGTAGTGCCTTCCAACCTGAGGGGGCTCATCTTCCAGCACTATATTAGACAGTACTCTGTTCTGATCTACAGGGTCTTCATTGGTGGGTTTTTGGAAGTAGATTGCCAGCCTTTCTTCCTAGTCTGTCTCAGTCTGGAAGCAATGCTGAAACCTGTCCACCATGGGTGACCCTGCTGGTATTTGAAGTACTGGTGGCAGAGCTTCCAGCATCACAGCAACACACAAACGGCCGGAGTATGACAAACTGACAGATGGGGGTGGCTACAGACGTGGTCATGACAAAAAAATACATGAGGACCTAACCCAAGGTAGTCTCAAATCCTGTGTCCACAAGGTGACTCCAGCCCAGAAAAGCAAGAGGTGGACTGTGGGTACCTGGAGGCTGAGGCAGCTGTCATCAGCACCAGCCAGAGGAGATGTAATTGCCTGGTGAATCAGCCAGGAAAACAGAAGCTAATCTGGTGGTTTAAACACAGAGGGGTTGTTATTTTTAATTTGATGTGAATGTTTTCTTGAAGAATACAATACATACAGAAAAGTGAATAAAACATAGTGTACAGCTCAATCAGTTTCCATAGGGAAGAACGTACTTGTGTAATGAACACCAAGATCAAGACATTGAATATTACCAAACCGGTTAAAAAAATAAAAAAACAAGTTGCCACTGAGTAGATTTAGCTCGTCTATCAGAGTAGGACTGTGCTCCATAGTTTTCAATGACTGATTTTTCAGAAATAGATCGCCAGGCCTTCCCTGGAGCCACTTCTGAGCTGACTCAAACCTCCAACCTTTTGGTTAGCCAAGCACCACTCAGGGACTCCTTAAATATTAACACACCTTAGAAGTCCCCTTTATGGCCTCTCCTTTGCTACCCACATGGAGGGATCACTAGCCTTACTTCTGATGCCATAGATTCGTTTTGCCTGGTTTTTGACCTTATATAAACGGGATCATACAATATGTGCTCTTTTGTGTCTGGCCTACGTCACTGAGCATTATGCTTGTAAGAGTCATCCATGTTATTGTGTCATTGTAATTTGTTCCTTCTCATTGCTGTACAGACTTCAGAGAATAAATTGTATACTACATTTTTTTTGATCCGTTCTATTGTAGGTAGACATCTGGGTTGTTTCCAACTTTTAGTTATTCTGAATAGTGCTGCTATGAATATGTTGTTAGTTGCCACTGAGTCGGTTCTGACTCATAGTGACTCTGTGTACAACAGAACGGAACACCGCCGGGTCCTGCGCCATCCTCACAACCATTGTTATACTTGAGCCCATTGTTGCAGTCACTGTGTCAGTCCATTTCGTTGAGGGTCTTCCTCTCTTTCACTGACCCTCTACTTTACCAAGCATGATGTCCTCCTCCAGGAGCTGGTCCCTCCTGTTAACATGTCCAAGGTACTTGAGACGCAGTCTCGCCATCTTCGCTTCTAAGGAGCATTCTGGCTGTACTTTCCACAAGGCAGATTTATTTGTTCTTCTGGCAGTCGATGGTATATTCAATATTCTTTGCCAACACCATAATTCAAAGGTGTCAATTCTTCTTCAGTCTTTCTTATTCATTGTCCAGCTTTTGCATGCATATGAGGCGATTGAAAATACCATGGCTTGGGTCAGGTGCACCTTAGTCCTCAAAGTAACATCTTTGCTTTTTAACACTTGAAAGAGATCTTTTGCAGCAGATTTGCCCATTGCAATACGTCATTTGATTCTTGACTACCGCTTCCATGGGTGTTGATTGTAGATCCAGGTAAAATGAAATCCTTTACAACTTCAATCTTTTTTCCATTTATCATGTTGATTATTGGTCCAGTTGTGAGGATTTTTGTTTTCTTTATGTTGAGGCGTAATCCATACTGAAGGCTGTAGTCTTTGATCGTCATCAGTAAGTGCTTCAAGTTCTGTTCACTTTCAGCAAACAAAGTTGTGTCATCTGCATAATGCAGGTTGTTAATGAGTCCTCTTCCATTCCTGATGCCATGTTCTTTTCATGTAGTCCAGCTTCTTGGATTATTTGCTCCGAATACAGATTGAATAGGTATGGTGAAAGGTTGCAACCTGACGCATGCCTTGTTTCGTTCCAACAACTCCTCTTAGTCTGTGTACAGGTTCCTCATGATTGTTCTGGAATTCCCATTCTTCGCAATGTTATCCATAATTTGTTATGATCCACACAGTCAAATGCCTTTGCATAGTCAGTAAAACACAGGTAAACATCCTCCTGGTATTCTCTGCTTTCAGCCAAGATCCATCTGACATCAGCAATGATATCCCTCATTCCTCATCCTCTTCTGATTCCAGCTTGAATTTCTGGCAGTTTCATGTTGATATACTGCTGCAGCCACTTTTGAATGATCTTCAGCAAAATTTTGCATGTGATATTAATGATGTTGTTCGATAATTTCTGCATTCTGTTGACCCTCCTTTCTTTGGAATGGGCACAAATATGAATCCTTTCCAGTCGGTTGGCCAGGTAGCTGTCTTCCAAATTTCTTGGCATAGGCAAGTGAGCACTTTCAGCATTGCGTTCGTTTGTTGAAACATCTCAGTTGGTATTCCATCAATTCCTGGAGCCTTGTTTTTTGCCAATGCCTTCAGTGCAGATTAGAAGAAGCCCTTCAGTACCATTGGTTCTTGATCATATGTTCCCGCCTGAAATAGTTGAGCGTCGACCAATTCTTTTTGGTGCAGTGACTGTATATTCTTTCCATCTTCTCTTGATGCTTCCTGCATAGTTCAATATTTTGCCCATAGAATCCTTCAATATGCAACTTGAGGCTTGAATTTTTTCTTCACTTCTTTCAGCTTGAGAAATGCTGAGCGTGTTCTTCCCTTTGGTTTTCTAACTCCTTTTTGTTTATACACATTTCATTATAATACTTTACTTTGTCTTCTCGAGCTGCCCTTTGAAATCTTCTGTTCAGCTCT